ACACCTGACACTGTTGGTTTCTTTACTCTTGTCATATGCTTCACCATTGAACAAAATTTCTTGCTTATTTACATGTGCATTACTGTTACAGAGACGGAATCTCAGAATTGTTTATGATGCTATTGGAACTCTAGCAGATGCTGTTGGAGAGAAATTGAATAAGGTATATTGGTATGCTATTGCATAGATGATAGCAATGTTCATCACACTTTTTTTATCTCTTCCTTATAATGTGTATTAGTGTCTTGTTTTGCCTAAAAGCTATTGCATTTTTTGGTGGGTATATTTGTTTGTGGTTAGATGATGCTCTCCATTGACTGGCTTTATCCTTTACAGCCTGTTTATCTTGAAATTCTGATGCCACCACTCATTGCAAAGTGGCAGCAGGTTTCAAATTCTGACAAAGATCTCTTTCCACTGCTTGAGTGCTTCACGTCCATAGCACAGGTCAGTTAAGTGTTCTGTCACCTTTTTATTTATTTATTTCTTTTGGGAGGGGAGATGTGGTGGACTAATCCTTTAACCTTGATATTGTAATCTGTTTTTAGTTTTTCATGTTTTTTCTTGCTCTGATGTTACTGAATACATCTAGTGATCTTTAGTAAAGAGACTCCAGGCTGCTATGGAGATGGTTGTATTCAAATTGTCCCGGCTATGCCAAGCCACTGTTTCTTCTGCTAAGAGTTTTAATACATACTGCAGTAAAAACAAACTGCATCTACAAGTGGAAAAAGTGATAGTAATCTCGATTTTGGGGGCCTGTAGAATATGATACTGAAGAGCACTAAACTTGACACTTCCACATTATAAGCTTTATAAAATTGCAAACACGTGATTCTGAATATGTTTATGGGCTGCTGGAGGTGATTCTCAAAAATAGATGTCTGTTATTTCCTAGCCTCATCTGTAGGTTGTGTTATCTACTCATTGAGCATCTGAACCAGGTCTCCCTTCATAATGTAGTTATTGCTGAGAATCACCTCCTTCATAATGTATCTACTCATTTGTTCTTCTTCATATCACAATTTGGAAGATGGGTTACTAAAAATTGGAAGTGTGTACAAACAATCAGTGTGCTTAATTCTTTTAAAATGAAAGTGCATGCAGCTGAGAACCTTAATTTTTTTTAAAAATTATTATTAGGATATATTACTTTAGTTATATGCATATCTAAGTTGTATTCATCAATATACTGATATTAGCAGTTATATTGTGGCCTTCTACTTTTTCTTGTAATCCCTTGGTTAATAAATTTGCTATATTTTTAAACAAGATGATGTCTGTACTGAAGTTTTAGATTTACCATTAGGATTAATGTATTTAGTTTTTCAGGCATTGGGTCCTGGATTCTCTCAATTTGCTCAGCCTGTATTCCAGAGGTGCATAAATATTATCCAGACTCAACAGTTGGCCAAGGTTTTTATACACTGACTGTTAATTCTCTACAAATCAACAATATGTTGACTTTGTTTTTCAATTTTATTTTATTTTTAATTTCTGCTCTCTATCCTTCATGGTTGGCAAATACTTCTCTATATTTTGTACTCAATGTGATTGATCTCTTCAATTAAGAAGCATATTGACTGGTGCCTTCTTTATAGAGTGACTTGTTTCTCTTCCATCATCTGGCTAATTTTATCAGTGATAGGTGCCGTGTGTTAGTTTTTGATGTGTAGATGTTTAGTCAATACATGTAAAATTACATTTTTATTGCATATTAAGTACAACTCTTTCAACTTGTGCTATTTCTACCGTATTTGCATTAACTGTAAGGATACTGTAGATATTGAGAGAATTTTTTTTTTTGATAGAATAGATATTGAGAGAAATCAAGAGCATGTATACGTAATTTCAAATATATCCAGCGGCTGATTTTATTTTTCATATTGCTGTTGTCAAAATCACTAGTTCATCTGATAAATCAGCCATAAAGTTAACTACAATGATGAATCAGCCTGAAAGTTAACTACAATCACTATCTTTGGAATCTTACCTTAAAGCAATTTACTGTTGTGATACTCTTCTCCACATCATCTGTTGTGCAGCATACTTTTCTATTTGCATAATAATGATACTCCAACAACCTTTTTTCCCCTGACATATCACATATTTATAGTTTTTTGAAGACATTGATGAGAATTTCTGTTGCAGGTTGATCCTGCTTCAGCTGGGGTGCAGTATGATAAGGAGTTTATTGTATGCTCCCTTGATTTGCTCTCTGGACTTATGGAAGGCCTTCATAGTGGAATAGAGAGTTTGGTACTTTCTTTCTCCTTTTCTCTCAATGAAAAGACATACGATCCTGAGTGAGAAGATTCTATTTAATGAGAAATTCATGTGAAGCTAATTGCTAGATATTATCACTGTTTATCGATGGGGTTATTGCAGAGCCCATTGATGGGTGTTGGCTGAATGACTGATCAGTGACTGGAAAAATATTAGAGGAACTGACTTACTCCCTATTACCTTTTTTCCCCCCATCTTTTTACCTCCTCTCTGGATTTGTGAATTAGTTTTTATCATACCTAGGTTTTGATTATTTGTCCATTTCTTCCAGATATTGATGCTGCAAACATGATATTCTCATTAACCATTGAATTATTGTTTAGTTAAACATGCTATATTATAATGTGAACTGGTATGTTTGTGTTGTTCACATAGACCTTATATGCAGGTTGCACAGAGCAATTTGAGGGACCTGCTTCTTCAATGCTGCATGGATGATGCTTCTGAGGTGCGACAGAGTGCCTTTGCTCTTCTTGGGGACCTTGCAAAAGTAAGTTAAAAATGAACCCACCTGCTTTTATTGTTCAGAGCTCTAGGCTGATTTATAATTTCATCCTTTCCTCTTTTGCCATGATAAGGGGGATACTTGTGACATTAAGCTTGTAAAGCTCTTAATATATAAGCCTCTAACATGGTCCCAGCTGATCCACTTTATTCATATGTTGAAATTTATTAGGTTTGTCCAGTTCATTTGCATCCTCGGTTGTCTGAGTTTCTTGAAGTTGCAGTTAACCAATTGGTAAGGTCTCATTTTGGAATTCCAAATATCAGTTTGCCGTCTTTATAGTTTTACATAGAATATGTCCATGCAGAACACTCCCAAGTTAAAGGAAACAATTGCAGTAGCTAACAATGCATGTTGGGCCATAGGGGAACTAGCTATTAAGGTATTTGAGCTCTTCATTCTTTTGTTTAATAAAATTAGATTAGTTATATGATTTTGTTGACTTGCCTTCATGAGTTGGCACCTTAATGCTATAACGGACTTTGACTTTAATTTCAGCTTCGTCAAGAAATTTCACCAGTTGTAATGACAGTGATCTCATGTTTGGTTCCAATCCTTCAGCATGGGGAGGTAATCTTCCCTTTCAGTTAGTGAAGTTTGTTGGCTTGCATGCCCATATAAGCATTACGATGTGTTTACCCATTTGTTCCTGTGTATGATTAGCAGGGCCTCAACAAGTCACTTGTTGAAAATAGTGCAATTACACTAGGTAGGCTTGCATGGGTCTGTCCAGATGTTGTATCACCACACATGGAGCATTTCATGCAATCATGGTGCATTGCTTTGTCTATGTAAGTATTAGTTTATCTTTCTCATGGTTGGGTGCATTTAGTACATATGGTATTACTTTCTTAGCATTGTCTTTATGTCCATCATCTGACAAACAATTTGTGGCAGGATACATGATGATATTGAGAAAGAAGATGCCTTCCGAGGTCTCTGTGCAATGGTATGCATCTGTTCTGTAATAATTGTCATTAACAGTTGAATCAGTAATCTAATTCGTGCTTTGATGATACTGAACTTTTTCAGGTCCGGACGAATCCATCTGGGGCTCTGAGTTCACTTGTTTTTGTGTGCAAAGCTATTGCAAGCTGGCATGTAAGGATGCAATTATTAGTTGTTTTTGAAGGTTGTTTATGTTAAACTGAAGTTTGAAGTTGACACTGCTCTATGCCTGCAGGAGATAAAGGGAGAAGAACTGCATAGTGAAGTTTGCCAGCTCTTGCATGGTTATAAACAGGTGGGTAGTTTCCTCATAGGTCTTGCATGGTTATACACAATTTGCTCTAATACATGTTTAGTGCATTCGTATGACTGGAAATTCATTTTCTATTCACCTTTTTGTTCATGTAATAAACAAGGGGACTTGAGAATTGGTTGATGATTTATATTGCAGTAGTTATAGCATATTTCATTCACCGAGTCGGTTGAGAAATGTTGTTGCAGATGCTTAGGAATGGAGTATGGGACCAATGCATGTCTGCTCTGGAGCCACCCGTGAAAGACAAACTATCAAAGTATCAAGTATAACAACTTGATTAATCATCGTTCGACGCTTCTTCAGAGATATCGTTACTGTTGGTATAATTCATGCTTACATGATCTATATAGGAACTATTATTGGCATATAAGCTAAAGATCCGCATATTCCGAGCAAAACACGGGTTCTTGCCTTAATTCATTGAAGCAACATTGTACCATATAAAAAAATTTAAAACACCCGTGGTAAATCATTTGTGTACGGGATTTAGCATTTCCGGAAGGTAGCCACCGATTCAATCAATGACACGTTTCTTCTAGTTTCATTAGATGTCTTAATTCCACGTGTTTTTGTACAAGGGCTTTCAATGATTGTCAGAAGTTTTGGGTCTTATTTTATGTATGATTCAGGATCTGGAACATGCTATTGGAGAGTGTAGGCACCTTTTTTTTAAATAAAAAAATCGTTTTTGAAAACTACATTGTACAAAACAGTATCAAAGACCTAACAATCTACTAATGCATGGCATATCTTGTGTAATAACACCTCCTCCCCCATATCCAACAATTAAAAGGGAAATCCAAGAAGCCCAATCCGAAACGACAAAATTTAGCCCAAATTGCAATATTTTGGCAACCCATGGGTGAAGAAAGAAAATTTGGTGGACGACAAAGGCAGCAAATCAAAGAAAATGGATAGCGTTTCTTATCCCAATATCTCTCCTTCCCTCAACATGTCACCGATGCCACTTCAGTTTCTGCTTCTCTAACTCTTCAGGCAACATGGAAACTCTCTATGTAAACCAAACTCTAACGCAACTCCTTTCATCAAAACCAAAACTCCCACTCTCTAATTCTATCACTCCCCAAAGCCTCTGCTTCTTTCCCAAGCCAACAATCCTCTCCAAGGCCAACAAGAATTTTGCTCTATTTGCTGTTCAAAACCAAGAAACAGGGAACACAGTTGAAGCAAGCATCGGCGATGAATCCTACGGTGAAGTCAGCAAAATCATCGGCAGCAGAGCTCTCCCCGGTGGGAAGGGGATGGAATACTTGATAGAGTGGAAAGACGGTCACGACCCTTCATGGGTTCCACAAGATTTTATAGCCGAGGATGTGGTGGCTGAATACGAGACCCCATGGTGGACAGCGGCTAAGAAAGCTGACGACAAGGCCTTGGCTCAACTTTTAGCAGCAGAGGAAGATTGGCGCGACGTGGATGCTGTAGACAAAGATGGCAGAACAGCGCTCCTCTTTGTGTCCGGTCTTGGCTCGGAGCCCTGCGTTAAGATCCTAGCTGAAGCCGGAGCTGATATTGACCATCGTGATAATGCTGGCGGGTTAACGGCTCTTCATATGGCAGCAGGGTATATAAAGCCTGGTGTGGCTAAGCTTTTGTTGGATCTCGGGGCAGATCCTGAAGTGGAAGACGACAGGGGTTTGACACCATTAGCTTTAGCAAAAGAGATTCTGAAGGTGACCCCAAAAGGGAACCCAATGCAATTTGGGAGAAGATTGGGGCTTGAAAGTGTGATAAAGGTGTTAGAAGAGTCGATATATGAGTATGCAGAGGTGGAGGAGATATTGGAGAAGAGAGGGAAAGGTGAAAACTTGGAGTATTTGGTGAGATGGAAAGACGGTAGCGATAATGAGTGGGTTAAAGCAAGGTTTGTGGGTGAGGATTTGTCGAGTGACTTTGAGGCAGGGCTGGAGTATGCAGTCGCGGAGGCAGTTTTGGGGAAACGAATGGGGGACGATGGAAACAACGAGTACCTTGTGAAATGGGTGGATATGGAGGAGGCCACTTGGGAGCCGGAGGAGAACGTGGACACTGATTTGGTAAAGGAGTTTGAAGCAGGACAGGTCGAGGCGCCTTTCAAGAACCAGCAGCCGAGTTTGGATTGATGTAAACGGTGGCTGTGAAATCAAAGTGTAGACGATTGGATTTTTGGTCTTGTAATTTCCTTCTCTTAATTACGACTGTTTTGATTGAAAAATGGGACGTCAGCCATTGGTCCTATAATGGATATTATTTGCATGTCTAAACTGTTGAAAGAGCTCAAAGATTAAGATAAGCAATTATTGGAAGATTCTACTTATATGGCAATGAAAGAGATGTTTTCAGTTAAGTGAAAATTACATTCAATATCATGTCATGTTTTTGCTGGAAACATCTTGTAATTAAGGTTGCAGGAAGATGTCACAAAGCAGTAATTAGGAAAGTAGTAGATGAGCTGAGAAACAGAGCTAATGAGCTAATGGTTAATGGCAAATGCAATGGAAGGAGCCTCCAATCTAGTCCCTAAAAGAAAATGACCAAAACTTTACCACTCATTCTTCCCCAACCCCAACTATGGCCAACTCCCATATATATATTTCCTTTCCTTCAACCTTACCAATGCCCTTCCCTTGGTGCGATTTCAAGACAATTAAAACAGATTTCAAGTGAGCAAAAGTCTGCATTTCAATTTACAAACGACTTACAGTTAAGGCATGATGATATAATCTCCATGCTTTTTTTAAATTTTATTTTTCAAACTGATGATTATGGATATTATGTAACCCTTACACTCTATTTAATGCAGTGAGTGTTATTTATACTATTTTCTGTTCAACTGTTCGCCGGAGGGGGGGTTGAGAAGTTAATTTCTGTGAAAGAAGAATTTGTAGATTGCAATTGTATCCTGAAAGCGTGCTGTTGCATTACTTGGGTAATGGAAGATGCTTTCGAGGGGAATACCTGATGCCCTGAAAGAGCATTTGCTTGCAAGAGATTGCTTTGCATCTGCTTTTAGTCTGGAAAATAAATAAATGCTGTTAGCAGCAAAATCAGATTTTTTTGCTCTTTTGCAATGAATAAAAATGGATCCCATAGCTGCAAATACAGCTCTTCCCTGGGGAATGATCTAGGATGAAGTTGTCAAAATTATCAGAAACCAATGATAAAAAAAATGTCATAACATCACGCGTAAATTTTATGATTGAGAGTGGAAAATGGTTTTCTGTGGAAAAATGCAGGGCATCAATGATAATATAACTTACTACACTTTACATATTTCTTGCGTCATGATTGAGCTGTTAGTTGGATACTATAGCATGGTTATTGCATGTATTGTTTTTATTTTATTAATATGTTTTTTGCATAGCAATAAATTTTAAAATATGTATACACTAAATTAAACTTTTTGTATTTAGTTAAAAGTAAGATTTTGACAAGAAGAGTCAATTTTCTTTGGTGGGAGTCTATTTATAAATAGGGGGCCGTAGCCTGTTTCATAGCCACTTTGTCCAAAGTGAAGCAAAAGAGCTTGCTTGCACCAATGCACCATCTATCACTCTCTAGAGCCCACCTTAGTATAAGAGTAAGCAAATAAGGGAAACTTGACTAGAATCTTTGGAGATATGGAACTGGAAGGGAAAGTTGTGAAATCAAGATTCAAGAGAGTATGTGTGTTTTGCGGGAGCAGTAGTGGCAAGAGGAAATGTTATAGAGATGCTGCTATTGAATTAGCCAAAGAATCGGTACACTCAAAAACATTTCCTATACAACTCTCTAAAGCCTACTCCTTTTTATATGAGTTTGTTGTTCTTTGCTTTTTCTAGTGTTTAGTTTATGGGGTTTTGGGTTGTTTATGAAAGGTGTCAAGAAAGTTGGACCTTGTTTATGGAGGAGGGAGTAGCGGGTTGATGGGTTTGGTTTTACAAGCTGTTCACCATGGTGGAGGCAATGTTCTTGGGTATACTCACAACTCACTATTCAATATTATATCATTAAACAATACTAACTCACTTCAGTTTCTTGGTTTTGATAAAAATGTGCTTATTTATCTTTTCTGGGTATCATGTGTTCCTACTGTACGGACCATTTAACAGTATCATTCCAAGAACTCTGATGAGCAAAGAGGTGCAAATCGATTACTTTCCTTCTATGAGTGCTCTTGATTTTAAAGTTTGCACCTTTTCAATTTTATTTTAGAATTTGAATCTCTGGCTCTTAAATGATGATTTGAGAATGTTTCATTGATTGTGGAGCCATAGATATGTGGTGAGACTGTTGGGGAAGTGAGGCTAGTAGCCGACGTGCGCCTAATGAAGGCAGAAATGGCCAGCCATTCTGATTGTTTCATAGCCTTACCAGGTCCCATCTCACTCTTATGCATAACAAGCAACTTTTGTTCCAAAACATATCCATAGAGTGCTAGTTTTGCTTTATTGTTTCGATTTCAGGTGGCTATGGAACTTTGGAGGAGTTATTGGAAGTCATAACTTGGGCTCAGTTGGGTATCCATGACAAGCCTGTAAGCAAAATGATTTGCTTAATATTTTTGTTGCCAATATCCAGAAAATGAAGAAGATATGCCTCTGTTTTGAAAGTTGTAACCTAACCTGTCTCTCTTTTTCTTTTCTTTTTTTCCAACAGGTGGGTTTGCTTAATGTTGACGGCTATTATAACTATTTACTTACTTTCATCGACAAAGCCGTGGATGATGGCTTTATCAAACCTTCCCAACGCCATATCTTTGTCTCTGCACCAAATGCTAAAGAACTGGTTCAGAAGCTTGCGGTAAGTTACCTTTTTAAAGTATTGGTTTGCTTCAGATATATAGGATTCGATGCTTTGAATCAGTGTAACATTAACTGGGGTTGATTCATTATTGTCATCAAAGCTTTGTTTGCTCAACAATGATATATAGGTTCATATACGGAATAGACAATCTGGAGGTTTAGACAAGCAATCTTTCTGAGATTATTATAATATTGGTGTCTTATTTTTACTGTGTCTTATGCGGTTGTAAAAGTTAGGAGTGTTTTTGTTTTGATTAGGAGTACGTGCCTCTGCATGATGGAGTCGTTGCCAGGGCAAGTTGGGACGCTGAGAAGCAGCAACAGCTGGCTTTCACTGCTATTACTTTAGAGACTGAGATCACTCTATAAAGGAGAAGACACGAAAACAAAAAAGGAAACCAAAAAAAAGGTGGGGAAAAAGATGTTTTAGGCTCTTAGTCTTAGCTTTTTACTCTGGTCATGTACACCTACCATGCCATTTACAATTTGGTAAGATTTGAATGACAAGGAGATAAAGAAGACAGATGACAGAAGTGGGTTTGGTGTTAAAAGAGGTAAGCTAAGTTCATTATTTGGACATTTAAGCTGTATTTTGGTATCCTATCCACCCTAAAACCATGTACAATATATAGGTAGAAATCTAATGAATAGCAGCTTTATCTTGTAAACCAAGAGCTTGCGTTACTTTGATGGAAGTTGTACAAGCTAGTTCCTTTCATGGTGAGTGAATATATATTTCCATCATTTGATTGAAGTTGGAACTTGTGGTTTTAGTGGACAATATGAGGCCTCTTTACAAATGTTTGTTTTTAGTTGGGACGGGATCAGAGAATTTCATACTGCAATACCCCTCCTACTGCAGTCTACTGTCTCCACCTCAATTGCAGCCAGGGACTCTTTTTTTTTTATCAACTGCATGGTGATATATATGATTATGGTGAATTACTAAGCTAGCCTTTTGACTTCTGAAACAACCATTCTTTCATTTCATATTGCCTGTGAAACAACCTGCAATGTCTGAAAAATGTCAAACTGTTTATTTCATATTCCAGTAGGACGCTGAACGTTTTGTTAGTAATGTAAGTACAATAACAATTTTAAATTATTTAATTGTTGAAATTTTTAAAGGACGGTTAATGTATTTTAATTTAAAAATGTTATTTGAGTCCTATTTATATAATTATTTTGAGTGCATGGAATTTGAAAAATTATTAATTTTTAGAGACAATATTCATTACTGTTATTTTATTAACATTAACGAAATTATTAACAAAATAATAATTATCAGACATATTAATATTATCACGCTATTTTTACACTTTTCTTTTATAATAATACTCTTAACTAAATAAATGGTTGTCCCTTGTTCCCATATATAATGGGGTAAGGGGGAGGTAAGATAGTAGGCTGCCCCCAACACCAGGTTGAGAGCAGCTTCCGTAGAAGACCTCCGAATTATGAAATGCTCTTAACTAACAATTTAAAAATAAACATGATACACTATTTATAATTATAGATATGAACAACCTACTTTTAAATACCGTCGGTTTCAAACTCGATGATTTCAATGGTTTGAGAGTTTAACGACGGTTTTCAAATTTAAAGCAAACAGTTTCATTTTTAATTAAATATAATATAAATACACAAATGGTCCTCCGATCATAAGATTGTTTTGTTGAGTTTCTTGACTATTAAAAGTTACAAAATAGTCACTCTATAGGGAGTTGCTTTGTTGATCTCTCGACTATTAAAAGTTATAGAATGATTATCTGACTATTCATTATGTTTCAAACCCGTTCTTTTTTTAAAATAAAAGTAACAGTCATTTGAGTTAGACATTAACATGCTATAAATGAGTTCATAACCTGAGATTTGAGTGATCCCTTTACGACAAACTTTATGATTCATTATTCAATTGTTGAGAACTTTGAGAGTGATTAAGATCAAATATTTGAAGGAATAAAGTATCTTAAACAATAGATTCATGATGTATTTAATCTAAAAAATTGAGACTGATAAAGACATACTGTTCTTAGACAAATTTTAAGAGGTCTGAGAGTCCCTCCCACTCTCTCTATACAGCCGTCCCTACTTTTTCTCGTATAAGAGGAAGATTTTTGTTCTTCATTTGATATGCTAAATTCCTTCTATTTTTCTTTTTTTAATCTATTTTTTAAAATGAATAATGGCATTTAAGTAATATTAATTTTTGTGATTATATCAATTCAAACGAAATTACTTTTAGAACGATAATTTTCGTGATATAATAATTTTATTATGTTACAATATTTATTTATTATTATTTGTGATAATCAATACTAATGCATCTATGTTTCAGAGTAGTACTTTGGATGAAGACTATTTTTGCACAGTGTCTAGTTGTTCTGTTTGTTTCTACACTGTGTATTAAAAAATCATTTAAAATAGATAATTTATTTAAATAAATTTACTAATTAATTAAATCTTTAATACAAAACAAACTTGGTATAACATTAAATTTTAAAAAAAAATTCTAACATTAGTGTTCATGGTTTATTAATTTATAAAAGAATAGTTTTACTAGTATTAAATTCGTTAAAGTCGATGGATGGAACGTGGACGTACTGCTACTATCATCATTAATCCAAACAAGGACTTCTAAGTTAAAGTGTCTATCAAAATGATGAATTTCTACAATGTGACACACTAAATATACAATTGAAAAAATATGTTATCGGTTTTGTTATTATTTAAATAATAAAATCGGTAAAATAATTACTTAAAATATTTATTATTTCAACATAAAACATCAATGTTTTTTAAAATTTCCGATAAAGTGCCCAACAATAACAAAACCGATAGAAAAAATAATAAAACCGATAGAAAAAATAACAAAACCGATAAAACGCCTAATAATAACAAAACCGGTAGAAATAATGTTTTCGATAATTTTTACCAGCTTTTTTATTTAAATAAAAACAAAACTAGTAACATCTTTTTTTAACTATATATTAAGATTATACCACGTGATCATTTCCCATCAAAACCACGAAATTCATAACGATGAAATTGATATTTCATTTAAATTAAATTATCAGTAATAATTTTTGAAAACAATAAAGATGGTTTTTTTATAGAGAAATAGTTATTACGACCGATTCAAATAAAGGTATGCTTAAAGACCAGTTCACGTTGCAGCAATATCAGTTCATTTGTTTCAAAGAATCTAATCATATGGCAGAAATTACTTGGAAAAACATGGTGCTTATGAATTTCCAAGTAAAAGGAGAAAAAGAGGGTGAGTGAAGCAAGAAGACAGAAAATGAACCTCTCACAAGATTAGTCAGTGGTGACTTTATTGTGTTTTAACGTGTGGGTTCCATCTGAATTTCCCTTTCTTGCAGCGATGACTTGGTCTTTTGATCAATACACTCACTGTCCAGCCCAGCAACAGCCTTATAAATATCCCCCAAGGCTCCGTCTTTTGCATGCATATATAAACATAGCTTCTTTCAAGCTGAAAATAATTAACCATACAAGTGTTATAGTTTAGTCATACTAAGTTACCAACCAGTAATCACTATGAGCTACCATTTCAATATGGATGATATGACCCCAGAGCTTCAACTTCCTGGCTTCAGATTCCATCCAACAGAGGAAGAACTACTGGATTTTTACCTCAGAAACATGATCTATGGCAAGAAGTTGAGTTATGATATAATTGGATTTCTCAACATCTATCACCATGATCCTTGGGACTTGCCTGGTATACATATGATTTTTCATTTATTTTGAGTAACGATTATTGGAAATTTTATGTTTTTGTTTATTTGATAGGGTTGTCAAGGACTGGAGAGAGGGAATGGTATTTTTTTGTGCCTATAGACAGGAAGCATGGTAATGGAAGGAGGCCTAATAGGACAACTAAAAATGGGTTCTGGAAAGCCACGGGTTCCGACCGGAATATTGTGAGCTTATCGGATCCGAAGCGGCTCATTGGCCTAAAAAAGACTCTTGTTTTCTACAAAGGGAGAGCCCTACGAGGATGCAAGACTGATTGGATCATGAACGAGTATCGTCTCCCAGATGCTTGCTCCTTTCCCAAGGTATATGTATCTTTTCCATTTCCCGACATTATGTGTTAAATACTTACATCGTCTCCCAGATGTGTTGTATGAAACAACTGTATTAAACCTTGTTTGTTTGAAAAACTTGTCATTAATGATGTTGTCATTCTCATTTTATCTGACATGTTTATCAAGTGTATCTGAATCTGATGTTTGCAGGACATAGTATTGTGCAAAATATATAGGAAAGCAACTTCCTTAAAAGTCCTGGAGCAAAGGGCAGCAAAGGAAGAAGAGTTGAAAGCAATGAACAGCACATCTACTTCATCATCACCATTATCATCCATGGAGGCCATTTCTTTCTGCACCCCAAAACAAAATTTGGTACCCCAAGTGGTCTTCAGGAAAGAAACTGAAGAAGAATCAATGGTGGATGAGAAAAGATCAGCAAAGGAGAGCAAAGTTTCTTCAGCATCTCTGCAATTACCATTAGGCGAAGAAAAATTGGCAGAGCTTCAACTACCCAAAGTGCTCAGTGACTGGACCCAGGATCAGTTTTGGACTCAGCTAAATAGCCCTTGGTTCCAAAATCTGACACCCTATGCTGCCAATATCCTGAATTTCTAAGTCTAGGATCTGATGTTGTATATAAGCTTTAATTAGGTTCTTATCAATCATAATTTTTTGCATTTGGTTGCAACAAGATCCGATCAATGCAATATATATATATATATATAAGTACCAAAATGTATGTTAAGAACATGAATGGAAAGTAATGATGGCTCCTCTTAACATCATATCCAAACCTCAAAATGTCATTTCATCATACAATGGAATATATCCGGGAGAGTTGAAATGCACCAAGAACATGAACAGAAACATATGACAAGGTTATAAATAAAAAAGTTCAACTCCTAAGAAAGTGGATGCTGTAGCCACAGTTTTTTTAGCAAATCGTGAGTTGCATCTCAAGTTGGATATAGTCTGATAAAAGCACACCTTTTCTTCCTTCTTGTTGTGCTTTTCTCCATCGATGTCAGAAAATGAACTCTTAAAATACCTGCAAAAGCCTCATTCTTGATAAAATGCAATCACACGGTATCATCAACACTCTCTGTATGGATTGGTCAAACTTGATCGGTAAGCTGCTTCTTCATTTTCTTCTTTAAGGCCTTCTCAAAGTCATGACTCGACAATGACAAAACCTGATTGAGCAGCAATTTTACACCAGACTCCTTTACAGCTGCAATCCTTGGTTTAATTCTCTCCTCCAAGCTGTAGCCAAAATATTGAGGAAATTTAACAAGCTCCGACTTTGAATAATCCATGGTTAAAAAAAAATCCCATTTTGGTATCAGGTTGTCTGCCAAGCTAAAAGTATATAATGCTCCATATCTAGAAATCATAGTCCCAATTTCCTTCACAGTATATCCTTTATCAATAAAAAATTCTGTTACCGGCTTCAGATTTGCCTCAATACTAAGACCAAATGTCTGTGGACAACGTAAAAGAAGAAGAGCAACATCAGCACCCAATGACCGGAAATACTTAGCTGTAGGGCGTAGCTTGTCCTCAACACTGTAACTTATTATGGTTGGAGAGCGTGTTAGAATCTTACCAACATCCTCTGGTGAAAGGCCCATTTCATAGAGGAAATCCACAGTTGTATTAAATTTTTGCCTGCTATAAGTGAGAAGTGCAGGAAACCGGTATATTACTTTTGCCCACTGTTTCTTGTCAACACCCAAATTTTCTAAGAATGTCATGGTGGGTATAAGATTTTCGGAGAGACTGATTCCACAAAGTTGAGGCCTCTTACCTAGAATGATGGGAATGTCAGACTTTGGTACGCCAAGTTCAAGAAGGAACTCAACAACAGGTTTGATTTTCCCCTCCAGACTGTAGTAGGCAAAAGCTGGGAATCTGCGTGTAATTAACTTAATCTTCTCAAGATCCATGCCAAGCTCCATGAGGTAGATGACTTGAGGACGGAGCTCCCCTGCAGGACCCGTCTCACTAACCCGAGATACAGCTTTTACCTTCTTGGAATCAGGCGGGGATTCCAGTGTTATAGGTTTATCTTTAATAGGCGGATCTGGAAAATTTTCGACCACATCCGCCAGAATATTTCCATGCTCTTCAAGGAGAGACTCAAGGTAAGGAATAAGAGCATCCCTGATCTCAAGAGTTGTGAGTTCTCTTCCTGAAATGTCAAGTAGAAATTAGCAGGAGTATAAATCCATTAGAATTGACAATGATGACGGTTAAAGAGACAATAAAACATTGCAATCGAACCTACGAGATACCGAGATTTATGAACAGAATGAAGCCTTGACACAAGGTGGTCAATGAAAAGGTCTGATTTATTGATGATCCTCGCAGCAACTGCATTGCTCAGACCCTGCTTCTTGAAGAACAAGGTTAAAACAGCCTTAGCTTCTTCTTTTTCTGCTGCTATCAGGGTTGGAGGCACCACTCTTGAGCTGAAAGATCCATCTAACTCGGAATCAGCTGTCGTTATACAAAAGTCAGCATTGGTGCCCCATAGAGGAAGAGAGGTTGAAAAGCAAGTAACATCTCCAAGGGTTCCTTTGGATTCATTGTGGCAGGGTTCCACATCATATCCAAAGGTCCTTAGTTGATGTTCGCAGTATTGAGTCTCCAAAGACATTGCTTACCAAACTTTGCTCTGCAGAGGAAGAACTTCGAGGGGAAATGAATCTGAGTCCTGTAAGAAAAAGGATGTTTTCTCTTTAGCACATTAGATCTGTCAATCAATTGAATTAATCATTTACTCATGCATATAGGAAGCGTCAAAAAGTCACTAGAGCAATAATATCTTACCCATTAAAAAGCAACGCAAACCAGACCATATCATAGAATACATTAGCTTTAGTAAAAAAAAATGCATTTGAAACAATCACCATTGATCATTTCCCTTTATGGCTAATGACTTGAAAGAAAGAAAAAAAACAAAAGCTTAAATTTTTCCCAAAGCAAGGCAATTTTTTTTAAATAGAATACAACGAAACCAATTCAATCCATATTAGCAATATCAATTTATTGTATAAACAGAGTTAAAAAAAACAGCAGCTATTAACAATTTCACAAAACAAATATCAAAATCTCCTCAATCCCATTCTATATTAGCACCAAAGTTTTTTTTATTTAAAAAAAAAAAGAAAGAAGAGTAACCATTTTAGAATACAATGAACATATGATTGCTTAAAAAAATACTAACCCATTTTTAGAATACAAAGAAAAGATGATTGGTGCTTGCCGAGTGAGACGCCGACGTTGGGAGGCTGAGAGGTTTCTTCTTGCGACGTCGACGATGGGAAGCTGAGAGCTGGCTGCCTGCGGAGTGAGTAACATTGAGATATTACAAAAGGAACGGGGTGAATGGCTGACAAAGACTGAGTCAGGTGGGAGCCGTGAGCGACTGAGAGAGAGGACTGAGTTGAACGGCGGGGTGAGTGAGATGAGAGGGAGAGCTTGGAGAAGGAAGTAGGGGGTTTTATTTTGGTACTGATTCGATAAACTATAAAATTCCACACCCAATTTTATTCCCAATCCTAATTTGATTAATAAATTTTAAAAACTTTTAATTTTATCACTAAAATGAAGTTTTGTGGGATAAGAATGTGCCTCTAAAACTTAAGGAAAATTTTTATAGAATGTCAATAAGACCAGCGTTGCTGTATGGATCAGAATGTTGGGCAATCAAGAAGGATCACGTAAGGAGGATGGAGGCCACAAAAATAAGAATGCTTCTATGGGCATGTGATAGGACTCTGTAGGACATGACACCAAACTCTGCTATTAGGATGTCATTGGAGGTGGTGTTTGTATCCGAAAAATTGAGGGAGAGAAGACTACGGTGGTTTGGGCATGTCCTTAGGCGACAACTGTCGGATGCGGTCAGGAGGGTAGAGTCGATTACAGTCGGCGATGCCAGAAGGAGATGACGACCAAGGCGGAAGTGGGAAGACTGCTTGAGATCTGATTTGAAGGATTTAGCCCTTACCGAAGACATGACCTCTGATAGGAAAGTATAGAGAATTAAGACCAGGGTAGCCGAGTAGTGCGGGTCACAACCATAGGGCGAAACATCTTTGTCTTCTTTTTAATGCCTTTGTAGTAATTTCCATGACTTCTACTTTTTATACGTTTCTGTCATTGGAATTTATGAATAATTAAAACTAGGGTAGCGAAGTAGTGTTGCATTAGTTTATGTTTTAACCCATTTGACTTTATTCATTCTCGTAACTTTCTATCGTTGACTTCTGTGTATTATTCTCTTCAGGTTTTCTCTTTTTAAATTTAGTCGGGTTTTACGTTTCTGTCTATATGCAGAGATTTTTACGCATGGATTTATTTGCAGGGATTACTTCCCATTAATAAAGACTGTATTATGAAGACTGTTCAACTATGTATTTATTTATTTATACATGCATTGCATTTTATCTTTATTTTTAATTTTCTGACTGTCGGATGTCTTCTACAGAAGCTGCTCTCAACATGGCGTTGAGGGCAGCCTACTACCCTACCTTCCCCTTACCCCATTGCATATGAGAATAAGGTTTTGTTGTTGTTGTTGTTCTTTAATATTTTAACTATTAAATTAAAATGATGTAATTAAAAAAATCAAATTTACATTAAAATATTTTTTATTCATTTTTTATCTTTTTATTCAAAGTTCAATCATTGATCGTTATAATCATCCATCACGTTAATCTCATTTTATCGTTGTTTAGGCACTAAAAAAAAATCTTATTCTCTTCTTTTTCTTCATAGATCAAAGATCCCCCAAAATAAAAAGAAAACCCTCAAGTCATTGTACCCCAATCACTTCTTCTAATTGATGATAGTCACACAATAATTCTTTTTTCAATGTAAAATTTAATCTTTAGAGAACAAACCTCAAAATCTATAAAGTTATATCCCCAAACTAAGATCTAAAATGCTTAATTATTGTGGTTAATCATATAAGGAATCTTTAATTAAATTATATTCTTTTTTTAATATCCTCTACTCTCTCGCCACTCAATTTGAGATTCAAGGTTTGTTGTTTCTAACATTTTAAAAGTTTTTAAATTTAAAATTAATATTTTTTCATTAATATGTTACACCATTAATAAATTAGGAGAAATTTAACGATTCAATAATCAAAACATAATAAACAGATGATTTCTATGATAAAAATATAATTTTTAAAATTAATTATCAAAATAAGATAAATTAAAAATGCATAATGATTATTTATATAATTTATCTTAAATTTCTATTTTATAATAATATTAAATTGACAAAATGTCTTTCACCGTCCAAAAATTACACTATATAACAATAAATCCGATTAAAAGTAAACGAAGCATAATACAACTTGAATAATGGGAGCATTTTAAAGATGCTAAAGTATATGCAATAATCAAAAGATGCTATCAACTTATGCATCTCTTTCTCTTAAATCATTTGACGTAGATATAAATATTATAAATTTGTTATTTTCTAAAATATAAATAAATAAATATATTTATTTTGCAAGTTCGGATGATCTATTTATCTATTACTCAAGAATTTTCGTTCTAAATTAGAATAAAACTGAAAATGAACCGCAACATTGAGTCTAGCCTATGATCAACTATTTGAAATCCTTTTTTATTAAATGGTTTAAAAAAACTTATTTTGAAGCTATTTCAAGGATTAGAACTCGAAATATGTTTAGACGATATTAAATTATTTACTACATAAATCAACGTTGTTGATTTATTACTCGTAATTTAATGACTCTGTAACTTAAAAATTGAAACTCATGATCAAGAATAGTTAAAAGAGACTAGCCATTCGGAATCCTTTGAAACGAGGACCCTCCTACTCTACAATTCCATCAATTAATATGAACCCTCTGTCCTCTGCGTGTAGAACGATGAAGACTTGAAATATTTGGTTTTGAAAATGTTTCAACGGCACCCGAGAATCCATCTCGAATCTGTATTCCCACTGCATCATGTTATAAACATTGCTTCATTTTATCAAGGACAATAAACCATAAGGTATTCCAGTCGTCGAACGCAAAGAGGCAAGCATGCCATCATAATTGGTAAAAAGAACATTATTGCTCCTCATCTTCGTGCATTAAACTCAGATTCTGAGATTCATATTCAACATGGACTGTCAAGCTTGAATTTGGATCCAACTTAAATGGCGGGACAGTTGCAGCAGTAGCCTTTGCTGTCGGATCAGGATCGTATCACTGCATCAAAGTGCTTTAAATAAGTTTGATTCCCATATCAAATCATGCATTCAAAAAAAATATTTTCAACATAAAAGATTGACATGAAATTATGTGCACGAATGGGTTGTCTTGTTCTGCAACAAAAAATCATGATTTGAACGTGCAGGTTGAACTGTTCTCTTTGGTCTCGCTACCAAAATTTTATGCAATTTCGTACCTTCCTGTGGGTGAAAGCTGCCAAAAACTGTGAATCTGAATTATATTCCTACAAACAAAACCTGGCAGCCCACTTCTTCAAGTTTGAACTTTTTTTTTTTGGAATCAACCATGTGAACCTCATGCACATTTATTCAGTGTTTTAGTCACAATCTAATCTCAACTTTGGACAGAGTTAATTAAGTATTCCCCAGTACAGACAAAAGATTTGATGATACTATGTATATACATTACATATTTTAAATAGTTTCCTGATTTTATTCATAATTTTTCTCTTAAATTATACTTATTTTCTCACAAACGTGTTTTGATGACAAACAAAATTTTGGTTTTTTTGCTCACTTCAACTAGCCAATGACAACGTGCCATGTGTTTATTTATTTTTCTCATATCATCCATGATGTTGCGTTTCTAGTTAGTACGCCTGAGGGCCTAAATTGGGAAAGTGATCACATGCGGCAGCTTTAATATACGGCTAAAAAAAGACGTTATCGTTTTGTTATTATTTAATTAACAAAATCAGTAAAAAATTATCAGAAACATTATTATTTCTAACGGTTTTGTTATTATTGAGTATTTTACCTGTTTTATTATTTTTTCTACTAATTTTGCTATTGTTGAACACTTTACATAAAATGATAAAAACATTAATGTTTTAGATAAAAATAATAATGTTTTAATTAATTTTTTACCGATTTTCTTATTTAAATAATAACAAAATCAATAATATATTTTTAATTATATATTAAGAGTATGGTATTGTAGAACTTCCCCCCTAAATTGGGTATTAAACCTTTGAGAAAACGCTAGAAGGGGATTATAGTAGTCAAAGGGTAACAGATAAAACGGATCCACGTGCAGCGTCCGTGCCTGGGCTTCATGTTTTCATTCGAGTATCCACTCTCGACCACCTTTTGGCTTTGGCTTTTGCCTACATTTCAGTCTATCAAATCTTTTTCTAGGGATTTCAAATCTTCTGTTCATGTTCAAATAAAAAACCTTTTGTTTTGAATCAAGCATTATCGATGATCATCCGTTGATTTTTTTTAACCTTCTTATTTCCTGGAAGCGGAAATTCAGTTATTACCGATTACCGCCAAAAGTGTAGTGGCTCATCGTTGATGAAGATTACAGATTACCTATTGGGCTATTCGCCTCCTATTTGGGCGACTTTGATAGCTGGAGTTTTTGTAGTCGTCACGCTTTCGCTTTCAATGTATCTTGTCCTCGAGCATCTATATTCTTACAAGAATCCTGAGGTAAGCTCTTCGTTTTATTAGAAACTTTAGGCTTTCCCCCTTACTTTATACTGTTTCGTGATCTTGCTTTTGGATCGGCAGGAGCAAAAGTTTTTGATCGGAGTTGTTCTTATGGTTCCATGTTATTCTGTAGAATCGGTGAGTTCTTTTGTCAGATTTTGGCTTTTTTTTTGTCAGTTGAGTGGAAACTTTGAATCATGAAGCTAGTTGTTTAATTGAACTGTGTTCTAAGTTGTTTGATCAAAACATGTATTTTTTGTACCGTAAGATTAATATCATTAGGATGTATCTAGAGGTCAGATAAATTTCTTAAAAGAATGCTCAAAATTCTCTCCTGTTAGGTGGAATTTGGTCTTCTGGTGTATATGGTATGTACATCTTAGTGAAATCATTAGCATAAATGTTTTCTGGTCAACGCTGGAAACCTTTTGTTTCTGAGAATGCTTGCAGTGGTAAATTTTTGTTCTTAAGACTCCTGAAATTGAAATGCCATGGCCGACTTTTCAAATTTTAAAGCAAAAATGTGGTGTTTGAGATTGTTGAATATGCCTTGAGAAATTGTATAAAATAATTGGCTGGATCTTTTTGTGATTTGGTATTGCTAACATGCGTTGAAGGTGACGTTTGTTGGCTTTTTCACTTAATTTTTTAACTGGTGTGTTCATATGAAAATTTGATTTATATTCAGACACAGTACTTCAGCATGATATTTTGGCAGCATGTATCTAGTTCAATGGTATGCTTTTTGTTATCTTCTTTCTTGCTTACCCAATGACTTTTAACAGTTTGTATCTTTGGTGGATCCAT